CATCCTGGTAGCTATGCAACGCGTGGTGACGCGGAACCGCTTCCTACTGTGACGTGGCACGCAACAGGCACCACTGCGGCTATATAAGGGAACTGCACAGCAGCTACGAGTCAGTTGTACTGTGACAGCCGCCGGGTCGAGTTGGAGTATAGCAGCCGTCGCGGATAGAAGAACCGGACGTGTGTGCGAGTGTGTAATTGGGAGCGTGTGATACAGTGATACCTAGCTCCCCTACTGTAAACGTGTAGACTACTGAAGACAGAGTGAACTGATTTGCGCATAGGGTTATAAGTCGTGAAACCCCGCAACAGTGGTAACAGATTAATACGATTAGGGTTATAAAGTGTGAAACCCCGCAACTGTGTGATAAGTAATTGTAGCCGTTACTTGTAGATTGTTAAATAAACCAATTAACCATCTCTACGGCGTCTTCAGTAATGAAACACGTTACAGTATTATGAAGGTACAGTATTACAGTACTACTTTTAATAAAATTTGTCTTAACTGGGTTTTCGATTAATTGTGATTTCCATCCCCACCATTATCCCAGATAATTGTGAGTTGAGTGTATTTATATATTGTAATTATAGATCACTGGGAAATATTGGTGTGAAGTGTTTTAAAAAAGACTGTTTCTGGCATGTCTGTAGAATATGCACAACTTTAATGAGCTTGCGTCCTGTGAAATGTATTAATGACTTCCACATCTTTAAAACATGGGGTGAATCCATAGCCTGAAAACCCTTAAGAAAAATGGTCATAAATAGTGTATTTTTTAAGATTAATTTCATAACCCCTAACAAATACATGGAATTGATATGACTCAAAGTTTGTATGCAATATTGATGCAATACAAAATTAGCCAGTAAAGTTAATTTATAATATTTAATTTAAATAAGTATGAAGTTATAGATCCAATTCTTATTCTAACACAACTCAAAAGTACACCCAGCACATGTTAGGATATACATATGGTAACAGAGGAAATGTAAGGCATCTAAAAAATTGCTAAAAAGGGGATCATATATGAATACTGTAAAGAGATATTGTATGTATAAAAATATCTGATTAGTAATACAAATTTATGATGCCTAGTCAGATGTGAACCCAATTTTTGAAACTCTGTACAAATACAGATGTACCCTTCACTGAGTTAACAGACTTGCTTGCTCCTCCCCACACCCTGAACGACCAGTCCATTCATGACACACCAGTACAAACACCTGCTTCCTAGTACATGCTGGTGCTACATAATTTGGTGTCAGCATACATAAATCCTGTAAGTGTATATAAAACGAGGAAAAGTACTTCTATAAATGTAGGAACCCTTCATATGCATTACAGAAAGGGGAATTATCCCAATAAGAATAACCATAAAACCAAAACCAAACCCACTCTGTATGAACATTTGTGTCTACCATGAACTCAAGGCTATCCTGCCCCCATAAGAACTGTGGAACAATGGACATTTGTGAAATGGGCAGATAGACTAGTGTTCAGTGATGTATATTCACATGGAATATTAAAAATATACTTCATCTCAAGCTACAAATATTAACCACCAGTAATATATGAGCTACCCTGTTAATAGTATTGTGGCATGTAGACCCGTTGCTAAGTGGCGTTGCAAACAAGCATGTTTTCATGGCAGCAGTTGCACAGCAATAATGGAATGGTGTTATCTGTGTGGTCCATGCCAAGATGTTATAAGCAGGACAGCTGGTGAGAGTCAGTTGAGTGGAGTGTGAGTTTACCGCTGGGGTTCGTTTGTTGTGGCTGGTAGCTGAGGTCAGGGACAGTTCAGGAACCTAGGGGTAGGGGAATGTCTGCCATTGGAAGCCGCTACCAAGCGATGGCTAAAGAAGACATGATTAGTCACGTGCTGTGAGTCCAATAAATCCAGCCAATGCAAAACCCGTGTATAGTCACTACATAAAATGTGATGGTATATAACACACCAGTGGATCCACTCAGCCAAAACATGTAATCTTAGCAACCTCATCTACAGCGAAGTGTTGTGTTGACAGAAAAATACAATAAATATTATTCCTGTGCTTCATAGATCTGATGATTGCAGGACATGTTTGTTATTTATATTATGGACTGCATGTACGAGTGGTACACTGTGGCATGTTTTCCAAATCATTTCTCTTACACCTTCCATCAAGAGGGCTTTGAACAGCAGTCACCAACCATATCTGTTCTTGAAGAAAGCAGTCTTCTGGGATTTGGCACCGTGTATATGTGGTGTTAACCGATGTTTCGGAGGAACGTATTGCCTCCATCTTCAGGNTGTTCTTGCCAAGGTGACCAAGGCTGTTGCAACTGCAACTTTTTTTCTCTTACTAAGACTGGTGTCCAGATATATTTTTGTTGTGACTTTCAAGATCTGAAGATGAACTTCCGGAGTCCAGATTATTGTCAGTGATGCTTTATTCCATTTATTGGAAAATGTTGACATACTTTGAGAATGGGGGGGGGGCTACAATCATAAATTGAACAAGAGAGTTTGAAGTGGAGTGTGTTTTGTCTAAACAAAAAGTGTTTGGGTCCTTTTCTTTGCAAGGCATAATGTTACCGACATAGTGTACCTAGGCATGTTGGAGGAATTCGTGCTTAATTTTGAAAAGAGGGTCCCTTTGTTGTGCTGTTCCAACAAGGTAGAGAACATCCATATTTCAACTTGTGAAATCACAAGTTTCCAGAGAAACTGACTGTCAGGGGCAGGCCTGTCAGTTGACCACCTTGTACACCTGACCTTACTCCCCTTGTTTCTTTTAAGCATACATAAAGGATGCCATGTACATGCCACCAGTGGCTATAGTTACCCTCACCTTCCTTAACTGAAGTTTAATATGGATAGATCTGCTGGACTACTCACATTGCCCTAATTGAATATGTGTAAAATACAGGTCACAAAACATAATATAACCTACTGAAACTTGACTAGTTTTCATTCCTATGCTCTTTAGTTTGTGAGCAGTAGTACAGTAAAATGGCAATTTTTTTGTGTACACACAGTTTATTAACATGTCTTTGGAATTTATAAGGTGGTGATCTTACTACGGTTGAATTTATTTTCAGGTTGATGCAAAGTTCCTCCGCAATCAGCGATTTGCAAAGAAACACAATTTGAAGCCTGAAGAGCAAAAGAAACGTGCAGAACAAAGGAAAAACTCTAAGGCTGAAACTGCATAACTTACAACTATGGTTTAATAAATTAAATTACAGAATTGCATAAAAGTGTTTATTAACACAAAATAAATAACTCCCATTCCTCTCCTTTCCAAAATTTCATACAATACATGCAAAGTCAGGATTAACAAGTATAGCCTCATGGGTTATAGCACCATGTTTTGGACAAACTTATGAAGAAATATTGAAATGTTAGAAAACAGCGTAGTGTTAGAGCCCAGGAGGCAAATCGGTTGACTTGTATACTGTTACCCATGATAGAGCTTAAATTCTATAATTCCCTTGTGTGCTTAGCATTTATTAGCTAGAACTGGCACTGGAAGAATCTCTTAAATTCATGTTGAATCAAAAAACATTTCTAATTTATGTGAGACTGTAACTTGCTTTTTTGTTTTTGAAATTGAGATGGGCTTCAACTTTTTGTTTGTTGGTTTAAATTTGGTACTGGGTATGGGAAATAAATCAGCTTTTGAATGGCCACCTAAACCATCATATGCTTCTTCAGGATTTGCAGCCGCTGAAGAATTTGGCCTTTCATGATTTGGTTTCCTGAATATGCTGAACTTATTGCTGCCAGAAGGCAATTGTAGATTCATGCTCTGAGAACCCTTTAGGGGAGTCAGACCAAAGCTGCAAGATTTAATATTCAGGTATGGTGATGCAGGTTCAAACTTCTGCTGTGCTTTGGATTCTGGTGATAGTAGGGCTCCAAACTGCAAAGAAGATAGTATCATATTTGAGAATGTGAAATCGAGGTGGTGCAGACAGGAGGTTAATCAGGAAAGTAAGAAAGAGTACAAAATTTTGGTCTTGAAACATGGAACAAGACCGTAATGAAGGGGAAGACTATTTGAAAATGTGTGTAGGGAATTTGATTTTTGTGACAAGGAGTGAGCTGTGCTGTTTTGATATAAGGTTAAATGGTAAGCTGTGGGGAACAATTTTCAGGTGAAATTAAACAATTAAGCTGATAGTTTAGAGAAAGCATTAAAAAATTATTGAATTGTGTATGGTACGATAGTGCCATGATGCGTAATGTCTGGTAAATGGTGGGAGGCACAAGATTTTGATGAATTTTCATGATTTTGCCCCCCCCCCCCAAAGTATTCGTTAATCACCTTTGTATATTTGTTTGGATGTGTTCCCTGTTAGTGCCTGAAAGGTTGGGCATATCTTATTCATGTTTGGTATATATCACAGGTCAGTGCCATGTGAATGTAAATATTCCACCTCCAAAAAACGTGTACCCTGAAATAAATTCATCATCTGACCTGTATTTTCTCCACCCCCAAAGTATCATGTTTAAAATTTTATTCCTCACTACTTATATCCATGTACATCAACTTCAGCTTGCACCATCATCCACTACTGGTACATGCAAAGAAGCTCTATTCTGTCATCTCTAAACATACAAAATAATATAAACTGATGCCACATTTTGTGTCACACTGTGTTTATCTGATTAATTTGGTCACTTCATACATCTCACATGAAGTTTAATATCCCAGCACATACTAATATAATTTATTCTCACACACCCTTCCTGCACTTTCATTACCATGTTCACAAGAACGCTTCACTAGTCCCTATACTGAGCCAGGCAAATCCAGTGCACGATGATATTTTCCAGTGACCAAAATACTGGTGTCATATGCAAAGAGAAAAACACTGGCAAATTTATTGATGCATAATGGCAAGTCATTAATATAAATAATAAACAGAAGTGGTCCTAAGCCCGACCCCAGAGGAACTCCTTTCTTAACTCTCTTTCCATTTGGAGAAATAATCATGATCGCTAATTCTGAGATGCATTCTCTGTTTTCTATATGATAGGATTTAAACCAATTTAAATTACAATTCTGAACACCATAATACTCTAATTTGGATATTAATATCTCATGATTAACACAATCAAACACCTTGGCAAGGTCGCAAAAATCCCAACAGAAGTTTATCATTCCAGGCTTGAAGTATGTCAGTGGTAAGTGAAAAAGCAGCATTATCAGTTAAGTCTTTCCTAAAACCAAATTGTTCTTGCACCAATATATTATTCACTTGTAGATGCTGATATAATCTATGATACATAGTTTTTTCTAAAACTTTACTAAATACAGTCAACATGGAAATACTGTAGGTCTATAGTTTGCTATGTCAGCTTTATTGCATGCTACATGCCCTGCCCACATTCTCCTTGACTCGATCATTCTAACTAGATTTGGCAAAGAGTATAATTTATGAAGCTCATCATTATGCAGATTGCTTCTCTTATGATGTAACCCCTTTTGGTCTCCTCAGCACCCTGTTGTCAAACGCTTTCAGTATAGGTTCTTCCCTTAATGTCAACTGTACGCTACCTCTCTTAATTTGAAAGAACAGTCCCAACTATCACTTTGGTTAAGATACTCTTAACCTTTATTGGACGAACGTCATCATATGATGTCGTTAAAAGTTAGGGCAGCTGGCCGAACGTCGTCATATGATGTCGCGGATTCCACGCGTGTAAGGTTTTTTTT